GGTGGTCACTTCGAACTACTGGCAGCAGAGAGCATAGATGTTTCACAGTGCTTCGTGATTGAGATCTTCGCAGGGACAGCCAGAGTTAGTGCATGTTTAAGGCAGCTTGGCATGGTCAGTTCCTTTGGAGTCGATCACATTCGGCACAGACAGGCATGTGCGCCAGTTTCCATCAGTGACTTGAGCAGCCCAAAGGGCCAAAAGTTGTTTTGGACCTGGCTTCAGAGTAAATATGTTGTAGGAATTTTCTTGGCACCACCTTGCGGAACTGCATCCAGGGCTAGGCAAATCCCTCTAAAGAGAACCCATCAGCAGGCCTTCGGGCCTTCGCCCCTCAGGACGGACGCCTCTCCGAATGGAGTCCAAGGTTTGTCTTGGGTAAACAAATTAAAAGTATCACTTGCAAACGAGTTGTATCACTTCACTGCTCAAGTAGTGCAATGGGCCAGTGATAGGGACATTCCAGTGTGTGTGGAGAATCCTCAGCATTCGTTGTTTTGGGCAACGTCTTTTTGGCAAACAGTCGCTGGTGCCATGCGCTATACAGTCTTGCACACATGCATGTTTGGTAGCCCAAGGCAAAAGAAAACAATGCTTGCTCACAACGCGCCTGAGTTCAACAGCCTCGCAATCACTTGTATGGGCCAGAGCTCATCCCACACGCATCTGCCCTGGGGAATCACCCCCAGGGGCTTTGCGACAGCAGAGGAGACCGCGTACCCGATGCCGCTGGCACGCGCTATTGCCAACTGCTTCGTCTTGATTGCTTGCAATAGAGGCATTCAGCCTCTACCCTCCACACTTCAAGATGTCCAGCCATTGTCTCTTGACGCGCTGCGCGCAATGCGAGCTCAAGCCGGTCAGCAGCCTAGAGCGACCAAGATCCCACCTATTGTGCCCACCTACGCTACTAAAATCCATGTTTCCGGCCTGCCCGATGACCTTCCCCACGCCGTGTTGTTCCACTCCCTGGCACATCCTTTGACTCTCCGTAACCCCATTGGCACCTTAGTCCTGCCGAAAGGTGCCAAGTTAAGTTCGGTCCAACCCAAATCCATCTTTAAAGGGGGTGAAATCTTTGCGGATTGTAGGTGTGTCCCGATGATAGCTAGGGAAGCCCAACTGGATAACAGTCCTGTTGTCCAGACTTGGGGCATACCATGGACAGAGGCCCAGTTCGTCGAACAAGCAGCGAAGCATGGACACCCCGCCAAACTTGATGCAATGTTGCCATCAGCTTTGAGACAGGCCATAGTTCGTTTTCAGCAATCAACACCAGGCCAAAGGTGTACAGCTAGGGCCAAGAAATTGAGTTTTTGGTGTAGCAGAGCTCGTGAGCTCGTACAGCCAGAACGAGAGTTCAAAGAAGCAATGCCACCTTCGGTCAAAAAGGTTTTGGCTGGAAAAAGAATCCTACTGTGGAAGGAGATGCTGGAGTCAGTTGACTACCCCGACATGGGAGTAGTCAACGAGTTCGCCGCTGGGAGCATGCTCACAGGGGAAACCGAGACGACAGGCCTGTGGCCAGCTAAGTTTGTGCCTGCCCAGATGACCGAGAGTGATTTGTTCGAACTCAGTGCCAGGGATCGACCGGCCCTTTCATCGAAGTCACTTGCGGGCATGGATGATGAAGTTGCTCTAACGGTTTGGGAACAAACATTGCAGGAGGTGGACGACGGTGTGTTGGAAGGCCCTATGCCTCTGCACACTGTTCCTGACCACCTCCCGCTGAGCCGCCGATTCGGGGTCAAGCAGGGATCCAAGATTCGTAACATCGATGATTTTTCCCAGTCAGGTGTGAACGGATGTGCTCAAACGACCGAGAGCCCGAAACCACATAATCTAGATGTAGTGTCAAGCCTCTGCTTAGCACTCATGAACTCTAAAGTAGCCTCCTCCAGCCCAGAGTGGAAATGTAGGTCTTTTGACCTGAAAGGTGTTTACAGGCAGTGTGCCGTCCACCCATCAGCATCTCGGTTTGCGCACATTGTTGTTAGGAACCCCGGTGATGATACCTTGTCGGCGTTTCGCATGAACGCGCTGCCCTTCGGTAGCGTCAGATCAGTGCACTCCTTCCTTAGGGTGGCGCACAGCATCTGGTACCTCGGAGTTGAACTTTTTGACATCTTGTGGTGTGGGTATTTCGACGACTTCATGGCCTTCGGACTGTCAGAAGAATGTTCATCCGTCACGGACACCATCCACATGTTGTTTGACCTGATCGGATGGAAATTCGCTCGATCCGGTGATAAGGCATCGCCCTTCTCCAGCACCATGAAGGCGCTGGGCGTGATGATAGATGTGTCGAACATGTCATCAGGCCTCGTTCTGTTCGATAACACACCTATGCGCAAGTCGGACCTCATCGAATCGCTCGACAAAGTCATTAAGAAAGGCTCCCTACCGCGACACGAGGCACTCAGACTGCGGGGGCGACTTCAGTTTGCCTCTGGGCAGATCTTTGGCAGAACAGCTAGGTCGTGCTTAGCAGTCTTGACGTCCCATGCCTACAGTCCCGTAAGTAGTAAGCTCTCCAACTCTGCCCTTTCAGCCCTTGAGACCCATCGGCGCTTGTTGAACTCCAACATTCCTCGTAAGATCTCTGCCAGAGCTTCTCGAACTTGGTTTGTGTTCACTGACGCCAGCTATGAGACCACCGACGGTGTGCCTCACTCGGGTCTGGGCGCTGTGCTTTGTGATGAGCAAGGACGGGTATGTAGGTTCATGTCTGAGCGAGTGCCTTCTGACTGCCTCATGTTTTTGAATCCGGCTAAGAAGAAGACGATAATCTTTGAATGTGAGTACGTTGCTGTCTGGTGTGCATTCCACTTGTGGAAACAATTCATTGCTGGGCAGCATATAATCTTATTCATTGATAACAACGCCGTCAGGGACTCACTCATTAGCTGCCAGCATCGCGCACGGCGTAATGTCACGGATCTTAGATTTCGAGCTTAAGGCTAATCTTTTTCCGTGGTACGCCAGAGTACCCACAGAAAGTAACATAGCAGACGGGCCTTCTCGTGATGATTTAGCCCTACTCACACAGCTTGGTGCACAACGTGACACTTGTCAGCTGCGGTCAGTCTTCAGTGGCCTGGGCTTTAAAGGGGGTGACGAAGGCTCAGGCAACTGAAGACCCCAGCTGGAAAAAA